ATTTAAAAATAAATATGCAAAGAAGGAAAATCATAATAGAGTAATACATTTTTAATTACATTAATGTGTTTTTGAAAACAGGTAAAAACTTATATCTATATTAGTCTGCCACAGTACCAAATAATAACATTACAGCTTGTGAAAGTTTATGAATGACAATGTAAAAATTGGTCTCAAATTCATGTTGGATAGACAGTTAAAGTCATATCTGTTCATCTATCTTTGCTCATAATTAATTGAAGAACTTTTTAAATTAATTTTAAATTTGAAAAGTCACTCTCACATGAAGCAACAGATATAGAAATAATTAGGACAATCTTAACTGTAAGGATAAGTTTGGTAGAAATTCTAAAAATTCCCCTCCACAGAAAATTCCAGAAATTTTGATACTGTTTATGTCTTTCTTTAGGATCAATTATAATAGTTTTCACAAGTTTCTGTAGTCAAAAATTTCCAATGAAGTATTCTCACCAGAAAAATAAAACAAAATATTTTCACTGAAAGATTTTTTTTCACTCTATTTGGAAGACAGGCAGCTTCTGAAGTTTTTCTTCTACAAAAATCAGAGAAATGCCTGAAAAATGGAGAACACTGATATGATTTGACCCATTGCTTTGGTAGGAGTAACCAAGTTGAGCAATTCAAGTTCTATTTCTTCATTTTTACACAGTCTGTCATCACTGATAATTCTGAATCTACCAAGATGCAAACTATGCAAAAAAAAAAAACTTGAAATATTACACTGCTATGAAATTATTCTCTAAACATCCCATACAACAGCTGAGTCTAGGTGTGTCAGAGCCCACTGTGTAATTGGGAGTTTTCTGAATTGACTCACATGTTGAAGATAATGTTTATTAAAGAATAAGTAATAAAAAGTGTTAATTTGCCTTATTCCATTCCCCCCACATTCAACAATAAATATAGCAATTGTTTAGAACTTAGACCATCTAAAGTTCATAAAGGATATTGGCCTATAGTTTCCTTTTCTTGTAATATCTTTGTCTGGATTAGATATCAGGGTAATGCTAGCCTCATAGAATGAATTGGGATGTTCCCTTCTCTTCTAATTTTTGGAAGAATTTCAGAAGAATTGGTGTTGATTCTTTTTTAAATGATTGGTGGAATTCACCAGTGAAATAATTAGGTCCTGGGCCCTTCTTTGTCAGGAGACTTTTGATTATTTATTGAATCTCTTTACTTCTTATAGGTATGTTTGTATTTTCTATTTCTTCCTGAGTCAGTTTTGGTAGTTTATGTCTTTCTAGGAATTTGTTGATTTCCTTTGGGTTATCTAGTTTGTTGGCATATGATCATTCATATTCTTTCATAATCTGTAAGGTGGGTAGTAATATCCCCAGTTTCATTTCTGATTTTAGTGATTTGAGTCTTATTTCCTTCTTTTTCTTAGTCTTTTTCTTAGCAAAAGGTATGTCAATTTTGTTGATCTTTTCAAAGAACCAACTTTTAAAAAAATTTTCTCTATTGTTTTTCTATTCTCTATTTTGTTTACCTTTGTTCTAATTTTTATTATTTTCTTCCTTCTGTTTGCTTTGGATTTAGTTTGCTCTTCTTTTTCTAGTTCCTTAAGGTGTAAAGTTAGATTATTGATTTGAGATCTTCTTTTATAATGTAGGTATTTATAGCTGTACATTTCCCTCTAAGCACTGTTTTTGCTGAGTCCCAGAAGTTCTTACTATGTTGTATTTTTGTTTTCATTGTCTCAAAGTATTTTATAATTTCTCATTTCTCCTGTGATTTTTTTTCTTTGACCCATTGGTTTTTATGAGTATATAGTTTAATTTTCACATTAGAAAATTTGTGAATTTTCCAGTTTTCCTCCTGTGATTGGTTTTTCATTTTATTCTATTGTGTTCAGAGAAGATATTTTGGATGATTTAAATTCCAAAAACGTATTGAGACTTGTGTGGCATAACATACAGTCTGCTTGGAGAATGTTCCATATGCACTTGAGAAGAATGTATATTCTGTGGTTGGGTGGGGTGTTCTGATGCCTATTACCTCTATTTGGTTTATAGTGTTGGTCAAGTCCTCTATTTTCTTATTGATCTGTCTAGTTTTTCTATGCATTATTGAAAGTAGGGTATTAAAACCTATTATTAAACCTATAAAACCTATTAAAACCTATTAAAGCCATTATTGTAGAACTGTCTATTTCTTCCTTCAGTGTTGTAAATGTTTGTTTTATGTATTTTGGGGCTCTGTTGTTAGATATGTATATAATTGTTATATAGATTTATATATATATAAGTTTATATATTTATATATATAAATGTTATAATTGTTATATAGTCTTGAGAGACTGACACCCCCCCCCCACACACATATATATAGTTCTGCTTCTAGACAAGTCACTTAAAAGAAAAAAACAAATAAAAATAAAAAATAAATAAAAAATAAAAAATATATATATATAGTTCTTCTTTATCTCTTGTAATAATTTTTGACCTAAAGTCTATTTTTTTACTGATATTAGTATAGGTACCTCAGCTCTACTTTGGCTACTAGTTTCATGGAATATCTTTATCCATCCTTTCACTTTCAACCTATTTGTGTCTTTGAGGGGCATCCAGTATGGGGTTGTCAGATTTAGCAAATAAAAGCATAGGATTCCCAGTTACATTTCAATTTCAAGAAACAATGAGTAATTTTTTGATATAAGTATTTCCCATGTAATATTTTGGGTTCATTTATACTACAAATTATTTGTTTATTATCTGAAATTCAAATGCAACTGGGCCTCCTATATTTCATCTGGGAACCCTATTCCAATAAGAATGTAAAGACACAGGCCCCACATTCTGGGAACTCCTGATTTAAGGGGAAAAGCCATGACCTATTCCAGAGAGGCTCCCAGTTCAAGGTGGAAATATAATCTTTGTAGAGGAGGCATATAGTCTTGGGGGAAGGGGCAGCACAGTCTTATCATGGAGGTGAAGGGTGTTTGTGCCAGGACTTTTGCTCTTTCCTGGGTGTCCCAAGGTTCCTTCACCCCCACCCCATGGTTCACCCAGTGCCCAGCACTCAAAGTTCACCCTTGTGCAGTCCTGGGGACCAGCCAGACTGCCCTGATAGACGATATGAGGGCATGGGAAGGGCAGCTGGAGGGGAAAATCATTAATGTCTTTCTCCTTGGTCCCTGAGGCCCAATACCTCTTGGGCAGGAGCTTGTCCCAATGGCCTGCTTTTGGGGTGGAAAGGGGACAAGGGCTGTGGGGGAACAGGGCACTCACAGCCACCCCTATCCACATTCATATGCATGTGCACACACTCAGAACACACACTCCTGTTCATGCTCACAAGCACACCTTTACTGATACACATTCTGTGCACTACTATACACACAGGGTCACCAAACACACTAGCAGGATGACCATGGTCTCATACACTCAGACCCACTGAAACACGCTCCACACACACAGACACATGGCCCTGCACACACGTGCAGACTTGTCTACACTTTCCCACTCCTGTGCGTGATAACAGATCATAGTCACAACAAACTTTGTACTCTGCCCACCTCTCTCAGGCTGTAGGGGTGTGTGTGTGTGTGTGTGTGTTGTGTGTCTCTGCATGCTCTCCTACTATCTGTATCTGGATATGTGTCCGGCCTCCACCTTCCCACCCAGCTGTCTGCCTCCCTCCCTGCAGGAGGGCTGGGAGGATGGGTAGGCCTGGTCTCCTGGACAATCAGGGACCCTCTCCCTGTCCCACTGGGCACCAGTTAGCTGGAAGGAGAAGGTGCTGGGAGGCAGTGTCGGCCTTTGCTCTGAGCCTGAGGGGGGGGGCGCTGGGGGGAGGGCAGTGGGACAGTGGGGGAGGGGGGCTGGGTGACCATCTGGACCTGGAAGTGGAGCTGGGAAGTGCTGCCCAAGTGCTCCAACATGGCCAAGGGGGCGTCCTGGTGCCTGAGAGGAGCTGGGAGGAGGGGGCAGCCCAGTGTGGCACATACAGGAGCCCGCCACGCCCCATCCCAGCCCTCTCCCACCTCACCTCCCTGAGCACCCTCAGATCTGACTGATTCTGGGGTGGAAGGGGGTGGGGTGAGGGAGAACTCTCTCGGAGCTCCCTTTCCTGGGACCCAGCCTCAGAGGTGAGGCTGTGCTGGGGCACGGAGCGGGCACAAATCCCTTAGCAACCACCAGGCCTCTTTCGCCCTCTGTGCCCCATTCCCGTGGCGGAAATGGGGCCCCTCGTACATCCCAGTTTGGATCCTGTCCCTGGGGGCCAGCGGGAAAGGTCATTCTGATGAGCCATGGGAAACCCGGAAGAATGGGCGCTAATCTGCACAAGTGCCACAACAGCGAGGGCAGGGATGGGGCTCCCGTTCCCCTGGGCGCCCCCGGCTGTCCGGGCTTCTCCCTCGCGCGGAATCCGTGAGTAGGAAGACCTGCTTGTGCCCGGCGCCCTGTCCTCTAGGCCCTGCGACCGTGAGGGTCTGGGCGGGACAGTGGAGAGGGCCTGGTCTGCGAGGAGCAGAAAGGAGAAGCGCGCGCTTCGTCTCCTGCACCGGCCCGGGCACCGCCGGGCAGCCCGCGGCGGGCGAGCGAGCGCGGCAGGGGAGGAGTGCCTGGACCTCTGAGCCGGCCGTCCCCGCCCAGGGTCCCCCGGCGCGCTGGCGACTTTCTCAGGCCCGCATCCCCGACGGAAGCTCTCCCTGCCCACCCTCTTCCGCTCCCGGGTGAAACCCCAGTGACTGTCTTGCGCGCCTGAAACTCCCACGTCTTTTTACTAAAATGCCGCAGACGCCAGGGAGCCACAGTCCTGCGAGTGTGTGTGTGTGTGTGTGCGCGCGTGTGTGCGCGTGTCCATGCGCGTGTGTGTGCGCGCGCGTGTGTGCATGCATGCGTGTGTGTGTGCGCGCGCGCGTGGTGTGTGCGCGTGTGTGCGTGTGTGTGTGTGCGCGTGCGTGGGTGTGCGTGTGTGTGCACGCGCGCCTGGCGACCGCGCTCCCTCCGCCGGCCCGAGTGCCCCGGGAGGGTGCGGCTCGCCCTCTGACGGCCGCCCCTGGACCTGCACCTCGCGTGGCGGTCGGGCGCCTGGGCCCGCAGACGGTCCCGTGACACCCGCAGCCACGGCCGGCCGCACCAGGCCAGAAGCTGAGGCCCAGAGAGGGAAAGGATGGAAGATAAAAAAGGCTGGGGGGCATCTGCATCCTGTCACCACCAAGCTTGTCTCCTCCGGGTTCCCGCTTGTCCCTGCAGGCCGTCCCGCGGGCGGCGTGGCGCCGGCGACCTTGCCCCCTGGTGGCCGGAGCGCCGCGCGTCTGCCCCCGGCACTCGCCCCGCCCGGCCGCGCGCACGCCGAGGAAGATCGCCCACCGCTGCCAGCGTGGGTGCCTCGGGGCTTGGGTTCTCTGGGGACAAGCCAGCCTCAAAGTCCCCAGGCGCTGCCACTCTCCCTGCCGGAGGGCCCGGAATTTTACCGGGTTATTACATTTTCTCCTGCAAATGCTGAGTGGAGGCAAAACACAGCACAGGGCGATTTCTACACCCAAGCGTTCATAAAATCCCCTGCCACCGTGAGCAGCCACTGGGTCAGGATTGCTTCTTCGGCTGCTGCTCTCCCGGTAACGTCCAGCTACGTCTTGGCGTCCCCACCTGCTCACCCTTCCTCCCGAGCAGGCAGCAGGACGTCCAGCCTGTGGGCATCGCTCAGTAGATATTTACTGGCGAAGATGGAAGATGATACGGTGGCGAGAGAGAAAGAAGTCCATTCCATAGTGGCCTGCACAGGTCACTTTCTCATACACGGTCTCACACCATTCCTCACCACACCTCCATGAGGTGAGTACTAGCACCTGGAGATGAAGGAACTGGGGCTCAGAGAGTAACTTGTCCGATGTCACACAGCAAGTCAAGGCAGAGCTGGATTTGCCCTAAAATCCGTCTGGCTCCTTGCACCTCTCTTGCAGCTCTGACAAGAGCCTAGGAAGGAGGTGGTGGCCACAAATCCACACTCCCCCTTGAATCCTACAGACCACGTCTGTCTGGAGTCCAGGGGAAGGGGGTTTTGTACCCCTCCCCCCTTACCTTCCCAGCCATTTAGGGTTCCAGCAGGACCCCTGGGCCTTCCAGGCAGTGGCAGCAGCAGACAGCTTCCCGGGAGACCGAGCTTGGCAGAGGAATGAGTTATGCATAGGGTCCCCCGAGTCCCACAGTGTACCCCTGTAGTAGGTCCAGGAACCCGCCTCCCCGGTCAGCTTTCCTCATCTGCCCTTCCCCAGGCCTTGGCCAGCCCAGCGCACTACTCACCCCTGCAGAAGCCTCTGTGCCCATGCCTTTGCACTCCGTGAGGTGCCCATGAGTGCCTGCCGGGCTGTCCTGCCTGCCACTGGGCCAGGGGTCCTCTAACTTTCAGCACACCCCAAAGGCCCATCACAGTGCCCAGATGCCCCCACTTATCTTAAGGTATGTCTTCGGGGCCTTCCGAAGTCTAACTGGACAGACATATTACCATGGAACACGACCAGGGCCCCATGGTGTGTAATGCCAGGCAACTTCGACACCGCCTTCCCTGCACCCTGCCCTTGCCTAACTCCTAAGAGACCATGACTAAGGCCTGTGGAGTCCTGGTTAGCAGTGCGAACTCTGATGTCAGACTGCCTGGGTTCAAGTTCTGGCTTTGCCACCTTGCAGCTCTGTGACCTTGGACAATTAGCCTCTCTGTGCTTCAAAGCAACAGTGAAAAGAATGGCACCTACTTCATCAGGCTACATGGAAGCACTCAGCACAGTGCGCAGCCTGTCGCGAGCCCTCACTGCTGCGCTGGCTTCGAGGCTGCTTTCCTTTTGCAATAAAAGCAGGCATGCCCGGGGCAGGCCGGGTCCCGTCCCGCACTGCCATTCTGCAGATGTGTGACCTTGGCTGGACTAGCCCTTGAACCTCAGCTCCTCCCCTGAGACCCTGCGAGGGTTCTGTTCAGGACTCAGTCCTACACTGTGATTCTTTATGTATCCCCTTCCGAGTGTTGGAGGAAAATGCAGCCGGAGAGATCATTTATTGGGCGATGTGTTCCCATATTCCTGTGGCCTCACTGCAGTGAGGCAACTATGTTTTGCGTTTCCTTACCCTAGGGCAGGGGTCCTCAAAATTTTTAAGCAGGGGGCCAGTTCACTGTCCCTCAGACCGTTGGAGGGCCGTACTATAGTTTAAAAAAAACTATGAACAAATTCCTATGCACACTGCACATATCTTATTTTGAAGTAAAAAAACAAACGGGCAAAAATACCTGCACGTGGCCCGCGGGCCGTAGTTTGAGGATGCCTGCCCTAGGGGATGTTTATGGCCAGACCAAAGCAGAAGTTGCCAGCAAAACCCATACCTGCCCTTTGGGGTTTGTCTTCCAAGAGCGGGAGTCCCTGAGCAAGGTCTTGAGCGGGCTGAGTCTGAGAGGAAGGGGGAAGGGGAGAAGATTCTCGTGAGTTCCCCGTCACAAGGAAGGGGAAAGAGGCCAGGGCCCACAGGTGCACTCTAGGACGTAAGTGGCTCCGTGCCAAGGATCATCCCCTTGGCCCAAGGGTTGGGAGGATGCCAGCAGCCGTTGTCACAAGAAAATGCCTCAGTCCTGGTGGGATCTTGGGAGGCGGAGGGGACCGAAAACAAGCAACCAAAGGGACTTTCTTACCGATCTGGCAGGACGTGCTCTGCAGACGACATAGTAGAAAGAAAGTACACAAGCCACCCGAGCTCGGGGACTGGGGTGCAGCCCACTCCACACACAAAGCTCTAGAGCTCTTGGGCTGCACGTGGGCGTCCTTTTGGTCCCAGCATCTCTGGCCTGAGCCCTGTGGGTCCTGGCTTTGTCACCCTTCAATCTGAGGACTTGTGAGCATGGTAGTCCTTCTAGATGGGAAGGCAGACTGCCCTAAAGGCTCCCATTTATGTCAAAAGAGGGAATCCTCGGGGGCTGTGAGTAGGGACAGTAGGGACCTGCAGCTAGTTTGGGAAAGGGGGGTGTGCCTCCCAGCAACGATCCGCCCAGCTGTTCTTTGGAAGCCTGGATGAGCCCTGCCACGCTCCTCCCCTGCCACCGGCTGGGGCTCAGAGAGACGCGGGCTCTGCTGGTGGCCCCAGCTCCTGTCACCCCATCTTTCTTCCTGCCTGGCACACTTGTTATTACTAGGCACTGTGAGAAGATGCTAAGATGAGTGGGTTTCCTTTTTCTGGACTTCCCTCCCTTCTCTGTCCCCAGCCCCTAAGACCAAGCTCACTCGTGTTGAAGCCTGGCCCTCAGCATGGACCCTTGTGGGGGACCCCAGCCCCTCCCCCCCTCCTCCTGGGCTCTGCCACACGCAATCAAAGCAGCATCGCTCCCTCCTCCTGGCTTCTCAGAGTTCTCCATTGGAATGTGACCAAATCAACTGCGAAGCAAAAGCATTCTCTTGTTTTCTTCTGTGACAACTTAATATTCAAATATTACCAAGATGGAAAAGCGGAAATCTCCTATTGCCACAGCCAGGTAAGCTGGGCCCCTCTCCCAGCATCTCGCACCCACAAACACCTGCACCCGGACACCTGCACGGCGGCAGCCCAGGTAAGGAGGTGAGTCCCAGCTGCGGCTGCCACTGCCCGGGAGCGGGTGCCCAGCCTCCAGCCCCGAGGGTGGGCGAGCACTGATTTGGGAGTTAGGGACTGTGAGCTCTGACCGTGGCTTTGCCATAAGTGGTTTGGGCCACTTTGAATAGGGAATCTATTCCCTCGGTCCTTGTGTTTGCTCATTTGCAAAAAGAAAGGTCCAGGCTGGAACCCTGTCCAGCTCTGGCGGGAGGGGCAACGTGGAGGAAGGGATGAGTCTGTCCTGCCCGTCCATCCCCCACACAGACAGCGCCCCAGGGCCCTCCTGAGACGAGGTCTTCAGCGGCTGCCACGGGGAGACCCCAGGCCCGGGAGAGGCGCCTGTGAAGAGCGTGGCCTGCCCGGAGGCTGACAGTGTGGGAAAGGGGCTGCCCACCCGAGCCCCCAGCAGTGCGGCGGGTGGCCCTGGCAGTGCCACCATTGTGCAGTCCACTCCTTTCTGTGTCGACACGCCTCTCTATTCAGTGTCATGTATTTTGGAGTTAAACAGGACTGGCTTCAAATCCCAACTCTGCCTTTCGCTGGCTGTCAAGGGTGGCCTTGTCTGACCTCGGCCCTGGACACTGCGGCCCTGGAGTTAGAGCACTGGGGAAGGAGCCCTAGCTCTTCCCCTTCCCAGTTATGGGACCCTGAGCAACTTACCTATCAGCTTACTCACTTTCCTCTCTATAAAGTGAGAACAGCGTCTGTTCGTAGAGTGGGTGAGAAGATAAACCAACGATGGAGATGAGTGCTGGCGCTGGCCTGGCACGTGGGGCGTGGGCAGCAAATGGCAGGGCAGAGCGATGCCTGTTATTCCGCAGGGGAGGAGAAATCGGCCTGTGGAGCTCAACTCGCTCCCTCGGGGCACGGGGTGACTTATCAGAGCCAGGAGCACCCAGGTGACCAATTTGTCATGGTCATCACCAACTCTCACTGTTGGCCCATTCATTCACTTCCCCCCTTTGGGCCTCGGGGACGGGGTGCGGGCCTGTGAGCATCTAGCCCTCCTAGATGGGACTACCGTCAACTGTTCTAGAAAATCCTCAGGCTTATAAAGTGGACCAGCCAGCTCTCGATTTCCAAATAGACTTGGTTAATTAAACTTTTTTCCTGCTCATTAAAGTCATAATTTACTTACATTGTGGAAAATGTGGAAAATTCAGAAAATTATAGAGAAACAATGATAAAACCAAAACAAGCCAAAACACTCAAAGCACCAAATTTATTGCCAATTAAATTTCATTTTGGCATATTGCCTTAAAATGTCTTTGCAATTTTCTTGGCAGAGTTGAGTTTATACCAATAAGGGACAAATTTTCATTATATAAATATTTTATAGTATGATCATTTTCTAGCATCATTAAATTTATTTTGCAAACTTCTTTATTTTAGTGCCCCACAATGTTCCTTTCCATGAGGGGTCCTAAATTCTGACCATGGACCTGTTGCTGAACAGTTAAGATTGTTTCCATTTTCCCAGTCATAAACTCTGCCGTGATACACATCTTTGGACATAAATCTTTCATTTCCCATCTCTGCTAATTTCCTTAGGATACGGTCCTAGAAGAAGAAGTACTGGGTGGAAGCGAATGAATATTTTGCAGGCTACAGAGTCTCAAGTTGCTCTGCAGACACATCGTACAAACTCGCACCCCAGCGTATCATCCAACACGCGCCATCGCCGGATAGAAGGACGTTCTGCAGTTTCATTGTCATTTCTTTGCTTTCTCATAAAGCTGAGCATCTTTTCCCGTCCGTTGCCTAGTCATTGGCTGATGGAGACTTCACAGCCCCTAACCCAAGACCAGGGCCCACAGGGGGTGAAGAGGACACCTTGCCCCTCAACTCTCCCTGACAGTGGGGGAATTGGGAGACGTGGGAGGCCAAGTTCACAGCCCCAAGACCAGAGCTGACTCTCTGCTGTGTTTAGAAGGAAGTCTGGAATGAAAGGCGATCAGAGGGCAGGGGTGCCTCCCAGGACCTGACCCAACCCAATGCCCCAGTGTTAGCAACGGTGGCCATAGGATCTCAGAGTGCACACGTTTCTGGGACCCTCCTTCTGGCTAGGTCTGCAAAAGGCAGGTTCCCAGGCTGGAGGCTGTGCGCAGGAGGAGGTGAAATCTGCCCAGGCAGCCGCAGGTGCTCTGGGGGGATTCCCTGGTTTCTGGGTAAACATCTCCTGGCCTCTTGAGGGTTTTGCTTGGGGGCCTCAGCAGAGCTTGGATGGGATTTCTGTCCAGCAGTATGCCCACCTGCCCCAAATCACAAGCCAGGGACCCCAGGAGGATCCTTCCAGCAGGTGCCTGAATCCAGTCGCCTTGTCAGCCCGCCACTCCTCCCAGCTCCCCAAATATGACCAATGGCGCCACCTACTGGCAAAGACAAAAACCTCTGTGTTACTTGGCTCTGTCCCCTCTGTCCCCCATATTCAGGCAGTGCCAGGGCAACCAATCCACCTGCTGAGGTCCTCCAGCCCTGGCCCCTGTCACCACCTCTCCAGCCTGTCACCCCCATGTTCATCTCCCTCCTGGAATGCTGCTCAGCCTCCAACATGGTCTCCCCCATCTATTCTTGGCCCTGTAATCCTTTCTCCGGGCGGAAGCCAGAGACCTTCCTAAGATTCCCAAAAGACTCAGCCACACCCTTGCTTACAACCTTCAATGGCTCCTCATTGCTTCTAGGGAGGCATCCAGCCTCCTCCCCAGGTAAGGAGTAAGGCCTCCGTGAGTGGCCCTGCTCTCTTCTCCTGCCTCATCTCCTTTCCCTCCCCGGCCCCAGCAAAATCCTCATCGTAGCACCGGCGGGCACCGAAGGACAGGAGCAGTCTCACCTCGGCCTCCGCACAAGCCAATTCCTCTGCTTCCTTGCCGGCCTCGCTCCTGGTTCTTTAAGACTTCTAAACATCAGCTCCTCCGAGAAGCTTTCCACCTCGTGTGAGTTGAGTTTCCTGTGGCTGCTGCGACAACCAGCCACACGCCCAGTGGGTTAAAACAGCACGGACATCTGCTCCCACCTCTCTGGAGGTCAGAAGTCAAACACGAGTGTTCTGGGGACCAAAGTGTGGGCAGGGCTGCATCCCTCCTGGAGGGCTCAGGAGAGAATCCAATCCTTGCTCTTTTTGGTTTCTGAGACTACCTTCGTTCCTTGCTTCGTAGCCCTTCCCCATAGCACTCTGACCTCTCGCTTCCGCCCTCACATCTCTCTCTCTGACCCTCCTGCCTCCCTCTGATAAAGGCCGCGCGACCACATTTAGGGCCCCCAGGTAACCCAGGATAGTCTCCCCCTCCCTAGATCCTTAACTCAGTCACATCTGCAGAGCGCCTTTCGCCACATAAGGCACGCCTGCAGGTTCTGGGCATTAGGACGTGGACATCTTTGGGGGGAGCATTTGCCCTACTGCTCCCATCTCCCCCAAAGCGTGCGTGAGATGCCTCTCTTCTGTGCTGACACAGCTCCTGACATCTCCTCTTTGTTGGACACACCCCCCAGGGTGTAAATGTCCTTTGGCTTGTCTGACTCTTCTGCTAGCCCCAGCCGCAGGGCTGGGCTGTCCTCTGTGCCCCGTGTTCCTGGGGACTGGCACGGTGCCTGATGTGTAAGTAGCGTGGGCTGGATGTCTGTGAAAGGAGCAAATGTCTATCTCTCCGGCTCCTTCAGTCACCCAAAGACGGACAGCAGGAAGCCCAGCTCTGGGACAGCTTCTGCAACCACCAAGCTTCTCGGGTGGGCACGGTCCTTCTCGCCTGTCTTCCTCTAGAAGGCAGTGACCCCGGCAATGCACGAGGTTGGGAGATCTGCTCTGGCAAAGGCCTGGGGGCAGGATCAATGATGTTGTGATCAGAGAGGCTGACGATTTGGGGTGGCTGAACGAAGCATGAGATTCTGTGCTGAGAACGACGGGGAAGGCAGGAAGTGAGGCAGCAAAGGTCTTAACCATGTTTTAGGGCCCTAGAATATGTGCAAGAGGCAGTCTGTCTGCCGTGGGAGAGGAGGTGGCTCCTGCCAGCTGGTGCTAAAAAGACTGGAGACTCGTAGGCACGCACTCTGCACACGGCCTCCCTCTGATGGGGCTGTCACCGAGGCAACAGATGAAGCTGGTTGCCCAGCAACAAGGCCCTGCCCCCCCCATCCCTCCTATGGCCATTTCTGCCCCTTGGGAGCTTGATGCCCTTTCTAGATTGTGCCAGTGTTTAGATGGAACCAGGTTTCCTCTGTGCCCAAATACCAAGGGTGAGCAGATGAAAAGGAGTTCGTTTGTGACTGTCGCAGTCAAGGGTCATGGATTAAGCATCGGAAGAGAGGAGACCCAAGGTGGCCTAGGTGAGGAGAAGGGAACAAGGGGGTGTTTTGGCCTAAGTCTTCCCTGGCTGTTTTTCTTTTCCATTTGTCCTAAAGTGCAGCCAGAAGAACACAGTCTGGGAGTCAGGAGCCTTGCTTGGTTCTCTGGCCTGGATCTAACTCCCACTTGCTGAGCATTTCCCCTCCCCGGTCCTCAGTTTCTCCATCTGTGAGAGGAGAGTTTGGGCATCCTGGTGACCAAGGCCTCCTCTGGGCCTGGCGGTCTGTGATTCCAGAGCCTGAGGGCAGGGAGGGAGCGGACAGCTTCGCGGGTTCCTGCACCCCACCCCCACCTGGCCCTACAGCAGCCTCAGGTCTTGATTTGAGGGAGGATGGGGGGCAGGACAGCCACCTGGCTCAGGGCCTCAAATTCATGAAAAGCCCCAAATTTAAACTTTGGATGTCATCACCAAAGAAAGCTATAAAGAGTCACTGTCACATATGTGAAAAGTATTAAGCTATACTCATAAACATTTAAAATAAGCTTCAGTCTTTGTAACTCTATTTGTCATTTTTCATTTAAAAAATATATGTTGGTCTAAGGAAGAAATGGGGTGGCCAGGACCTCTGTCCCTCTTTGAGGGCCCTGGCTCCCCAGCTCCTTGGCTGCCCAGGGGCCCTCCCAGGGGTCTGGGGACCTGGGCTGCCCTTCTGTGGTGGAAGAAGGAGACGACACGGGGCCTTCAGAGGGTGTGAGGTGGCGGGTCTCGGCCCAGGTCTGTGGGGCGGTGGGGTCTGAGCGTTGGGACTCGCGCCTAGGGAAGCCATGAGGGAGGCGGAGCTGGCCAGGGCCGAGGTGCCTCTGTCCCTCCACTCTGCCAGAGACTCTGAGGGTAAGGATCTAGGGTTAGGTGAGCCAGCCCTAGCTCCCCGCCGGGCCTTGGCCTGCCAGGAGTGCCCCTGGGGGTCTTTTGCTGGGCGCCCTGGTCTCCGGCCCCCTGAGGGCGAGGTGCCTGGTGGGTTGGGCTGGGGGTCAGGCCCTCACAAGAATGGGTCCCCTGAGAGCACCTGGCCCCGAGCGCCCTGAGCTGTCTGTCAGTCATGCCTTCCGGTCTTCCCACTGCAGGCCTCCCCGCCCACCTCGGCAAATGAGCGCTGGGAAAGGCTGGGTGGGGAACTCCCAAACGGCCACCTGTCCGCCCCGAGTCACAGAACCCCCCGAGTCACAGAACCGCCCGGCACGGACCCAGCACGCTGCAGGAGGCCAGTTGTCCTGGCCTCTGGGACAGCCTGCGCTTATCCTGGGCTGGGAGTAGCCCACAGCTGGGGGTTCGAGTCCTGGCTCTGTCATGGCTGCGGGAAAGTAGTATGGCCTTTTTAGCCCCAGTGTCCCCATCTGAGAAATGAGGGGGTTGGACTCTCCAGAGCCCCTGTCATCTCAGACGTACTCTGGCACCAAGCGGACGCCCGGCCTCCTGGATTCCACCTGCCCGCAGGCGTCTGCGAGGAGATTTGCTCTGAGACAGCGCCACCTGCTGGCCGTTGTGGATAGGACACCTACCTCTTCTCCGGCGACCCCAGAATCCCAGAACTCAGCTGTGACAGCAAGAATGGTGGTCAGAAAGTACCCGTTGCACTTTTTACTTTGCATTTGGGTCACTTCATTAACTTTTTACAATAAACCATATGAAACAGATGCTATCATGTTCCAGTTTTATAGATTATAAAACTGAGCTTCAGAGAGGCTAAATTGCTTAAATTGGTCAGGGCTGTGGTTGAAATTCAGTGCTGTGTTCCTATCACTAACCAGCCCCCTTGCTTGCAGAAGGGGTCCTGAGGCCAGGGGTGAACGACTTGCCAAAGCTGCCCGGCAAGTCAGCGACAAAGCTGGGAACGTACCTAAATCAACCCGCCGGAGCATCGTGTTCCAGAGGGGTCCTCCAAGTTTGCTTTTGGGGGTCTGAGCCCCTCTGCATGCTCATGCTGGTAAGAAAGACTTGGCTTCAAATCCGCCTCAGGCAAGTAGGGTTCTCTCCAGAGAACCCAGCACACTCAGGCCTGACCCCGCTCCATCCACCTTGTGCCCCTGGCTCTGCCTTCTCCCAGCTCTGGAAAATCTGCAAGTGTGGCTTGTTCCCCCAGGAAGCAGGAAGCAGGAAGCAAGGAGCTTGTTCTGTGGTGGGCAGGTCTATGCAAACCCACCCTCCAATGCCAAGGAAGCTGAAAGGCCAACGAAAGAGGCTGAAGGATCCAGTTTCTCAAAAGGAAACATTTAATAGGGACCTACTGAAACTGCCTATATTAAAGTGATGCAGATCCACTCGGCAAGAACATCGGTAGGAGTGTGATTGAGGCAGCAGTGCAGGCAAAGCTAAAGGTTAGCCGGCCATTGTTTCATCACTTGCCTTGCTGCAGTCGCTTACCGCTTAGGAGCGGTGCATCCCCGACTGCCATGAGATCCACAGCCTCTCTAATCACGTCTATACGCAGCATCACCATTGTGAAACCTAAGACTGGCCTTTGAGATATCTTGCAGGCTCAGCATCAGGGGGACCAACTGATGCCAACCGGACCACCGGCACACTTGGGAACAGACTGACGCAACAGGTCCTGTGACTCTCTACGCAGGAATTATCTGTCGCTGCTCCTCGCAGCGCAAAAAGACAATTTCTGCTTCCAATCAGCAGACCTAATTTCCTAGCCCTTTGTCCACCAAACTACCTTTAAGAACCCTGGCCTCTGCCATAGACTGAATGGCTTATATAAAAACAATAATAACAGCAAAAAAGAAAACAAAACCCTGGCTCCCAAATTCTCAGGGAGACAGATTTCAGAAATTCCATCTCCTCACTCAGTGCCCTGCAATATTAAATTCTTTCTCTGCTGCGACACCTGCTGACTCAGTGTATCGGCGTCCCTCTGTGCAGCTGGCAATAGAACCTGGCTGGGCGGTAACATTATAAACAGAAGAACAGAAGCCACGTCTTGGGCAGTAGCGAGAGGAGATGGCAGATTCCCTTCCTGTTACATGCCCCCCCCCCATACCATATTGAAGGAATAAGTACGAGACAATTGAAGTTGACCCCTCACGGAAAGGCAAGAATGCAATGGGAATCTGCCTAAGGGCAGGATTTATGGTCAAGGTTGCTTTGACCTAAAGGCAGGAAATCTTAGAGGCATTCCTGGAGCTGGGGTTAATTAGAATTCAACAAGGCAGATGAGCACCCAGGATGGAGTTGTCTTATCCTTCCCAGAGCTTGCCAAGGTGGAGAGAAGCTTAGTGGCTTGTTCACTGTCACCGCAATTTTACGGAGTGGCCGGGACTGGAATGGAGTGACCCAATGACCAGCTTGGGGCTTTTCCCATTCCATCTTTCCCGTGGCCCCCTCATCCTGCCCCAAAAGAAGGCCTGAGTTGGTTCAGCCAGGAGTTAGCCAAGGACCAAAGTGGGAACAGGCAGGAAGGAGCTAGAAGTCCATGCTCAAGACAGTAGCAGGTTTTGGTGCTGCAAGAACAGAAACATTAAAATAACCAGACAACCAATAAAAAGACAAAAAAACAAAACAAAACAAAGAAACAAAAACAAAAAAACAAGCATGGAAGACCCAGATCTAAATGCCCAGAAGAAAGACTGACAAAATTAAAAAGTGCTAAAGCAAATTCTGAGTGAGCTGCACACTGCATAGCAATAAGCCCTGTGACTTTGAGGGACCCTGTAAACAGCTATTAAAGAAAGAAGACCAGAAGGTAATATACCAATATCCTAACAGTGGTTGTTTCTGGTAGTAGATTGTAAGTGATTTTTCTTCTCTTTGACTATATATGTTTTCCAGTTTCTCTGCAAAGAATCCATATTGCTCACATAATAAGAAAAAAAGTTATTTGTAAAAAGGAAGCAAGAAGTAGAGTATCTTTATGATTTAAGGAAGAAGAGGAAGAGGTTCTTAAACAAAAAGCATAAACCAATAAAGAAAAAACTGGCAAGTTAAAGATATTTGCCATTCATATAATTGACAAAGGATTGTGATATATGGAGAACTCCTATTAATCAATAAAAAAAGATATATAACTTAAGATAAAAAAAAAAGGAGCTAAGACTATGACTAGGCAATTTGCAGAAGAGGAGATCCAAGTTATCAACGAGCATGTGATAGGTTTCCCAGCCTCACCGGTTGTACCATTCCTCCCTCATGTTGGCAAAAATGGAAACGTCTGAAAGTATTGAGTATTGGGGAAGATATGGAGACACAAATACTCTCATATGCTGCTGGATGGAGTACAAATTAGCAAGGTCACTTTGCAGAGAAATTTGGTAAGAAGTAGTAAATTTGAAAATGCACGCAGCAATTTCATTTTGAGACATATCCCTAGAGAAAGGCTCATATGGATGCACAGGGAGATGTTATGTGGTAGCGTCCCGGAGCTGACTTGTTTGTACCAGCTTGCAAGACTGACAGTGTCGAACCCTTCCCAACTCTGCGTTCAGTGACGTCCTGTTGGTAGCTTGAAATCAGTCATGGCAGAAAGTGTTTCAGGAGAGCCGATGGTTAAACATTTACCAGCACGCCACTGCAAATACGTTCTTCGTAGCTTTGATGTTATAGAAAAACATTGGCTGGTCTAAGTGTCTATTGATAGGAGAATAGGCAAATAAAATGTAGCATGATTATTCTATGAAACAGTGTACAGAACTTAAAAGACTTAGACGTGTATCAGCATGGACTGATATAAAAAACATACTTTTAAGCTAAAAAAGCAAGTGACTGAGATGTTATGCAGAATATGGCTATGCAGATTAAAAACAATATTTAATATTATTTATGGAACACATGTCTGTATGTAAAATAATTTTTAAATTGACTGGATGATAAATACCAATTCACCATGGCAGTTGCCCTTGGGGAGGGGAAGGTTATAGGGAGAAGATAGAGGACTTTATCTGGGGTGTTTCATTTCTTTTATTGATTAAAGTGTTTCTGAAAAGAATATTAACTGTCATTATAGATGGTGGAGTTGTGTGTGTTTGTGATGGTCTTTGTATTTTCTGTATTTTTAAAATAAAAGGTACAGTGCTATAAACTTTCTTGCTGTATTTATGGTTACTTTAATTATGGAGGCTATAATTATCAGTGCAGTTAATTCACACAGAGTGCCTTTATGAGGAACCATAATTCCAAGGATAGTTGAGCTTCTGTACTTTATTTGTCTTTATCTTATGGACACTAAGGAATTCTATAACTGATCAGGTTGCTCTCTTTGCATTGGCTGCTAGGAAGCTCAACTGCAGATATTTGGCGTTTCTCTAGCAATTACACTAGACCTCCCAGTTTGCATTTACTTCATTCCTTGTTTTACCTTCTCTTTCTTGCCCTCACTTTCCCCTTGTTGTGATTTCCATATTTATTTATTTTGTAATTTACTTCATTTTGTATTTTTTTTTTTAATTTAGAAACTGCTTTGAGTCTTTTCTGGAATAAAGCTGGTTATAAATTAATTTATTTTTTAAATTCATCAGGTACATAAGATGAGATCCAATGAGAGAGGGAGAAATATCCTGAGCACTTGCCTAAAATATTAGCTGGTGTTAGAGGAATATCCCCTCCTCTAAAGGGCCAAAGGATGGAGTGGAAGAGGGTTGTGAATACTAGCCAAGGTCAAGGTTAAGGTCAAGACCAAAGTCAGTGGAGGGAAAGATCATCATAAGACCAGAGAGGGGCAAGATCAGGAGCATAACAAGGTCACATTAGTTCATTCATACATTCACTCATTCATTCATTCAATAACTACTGAGCACCAGGCACTGGGTCAGAGGCAGGCAGGCTGCAGGGGAGGAAGCAAATACACTGCACAGGGCAAGGAAGGCAGGAGGCCACTAGCAGCTCCTGGTGGCCCATCTGGACACTCCAGGTTCTAGAATTACCAAAACCAACACAGAGCAGCTGAACGATCTGGGCGGGAGGTGGCTGGTTGTTCCCACTTTGGCAGCCCCCACTGCAGGTCCCTGGAGACCCCGGGGTGGCTAAGCCAGGATTCATAGTACAGAAACTCATTGCACGCACAACCTGCACGAAAGATTGCAGTTGGGTGGTGGACTCTTAAACCAACAGCTGGGAAGTGTTGGGGCAAACCCCTCGCTGTCTCTTAGATGAGTTCCATGACTCCTTGTCTGACCAACCTCCAGGCAGCGAACGTGAAGGGGAGAGGACTGGAATACAGCAGACGGTCAGCAAGACCGCGGGCTTCTGTTCTGAAAAGAGCACAGAGTGGAGTCCTTTTTCTACCCAAAGAACTAAGGTGGCAAGTATGACCCACTGTTGGTGTTTTGTCCTGGAAAATGAGTGATACGACTTGGGGGGAAAAGGGAGAGCAGAGTGGGGTGGGGTCTGGGGGTTCAGGAGAACCCGTGAGGAGCAAACAAGAACCGTTTGGAGGAAAGGCCACACCTCTGCGTGGCCATTGGCCTTGACAGCTTTTCTGGGCCCTGGTGCAGCTGTCTGCTGCTTCCTGCGTCCCCTGGGGCTGGGCTGGGCATGGCCCGGACTGAACCCGGGAGCAGCCCCAGCCATGCCCGCAGGGCGCCCTTGGCCCCCAGGCCCTCCTTCCTCGCCCTGGCTCTTTACCCCACTGAACTGGAAGTGGCAGTTTTCTTTCCAAGGAATGCTTCTGCCAGGACCCAAGGAAGGGCGGCCTCTTTGGCTCCTTCAAATGCTGCCCTGGCTGCAGCTCGGGTCCCCTCCCTAGTGTCACCACCCCTGCTCCCGGTCCAGCAGGGCTCCAAGGGGGGTGTGGGCCTGGTGGAGAGCCCTGGGCCTAGCCTCATGGAGCTTCTGGGACGGTGGGAAGGCCACCAGGAGCCCCTTCTCTCCCCCAAGAACTTTCCAGTGTGGAGAGCAGCCTCACGATTCACAGCTCAAGTCAAAGAACTTGAAGTTACCACCTACGGCAGGACGGAGGCCGCAGCGGGTGTTTGGGGGAGGTGAAGGAGGGTAGGAAGGTCATGAACTTTGGAGTCATACAGACTAGAGACCTAACATTTATGGCACCAAATGCCCTTTCTTTGCAATAAAAACGAAAAAGTGAAAATAAATGAATTAAACACTCAAGTTGAAAAAGTAGGGGGAAGAACCATGCGGGCTGAGCGGCAGGGTCTTCTGAGGAGGGAAGTCCACCAGCGCCCGGTTTCCCCGCAGCTCGTGTCGTCCCGGCCAGGCCCTGCTGGACAGGCCCGGGTGCGGGTGTGAACCTGCGGACAGACGCCCCCGCGGTGGCCGTGAGGACGCGCCGCGCAGACTGCGTGCGAACCGCGGACGACACAGCTGACCCATCTGCCGCACCTCCGGGGGGTGACTGTCAGGGCAGCTTAGCAAGACCTCAGCCTCACGGCGCAGCCATCGATTTGGGGAATGCATGTCTTTTCGTTCCAATTAGAAAAGAAGATAAGAAACAGCCCCCCTTCAGATGGCAGAGACGAGCCGTTCGTTTACGACCCTGCCCCTGACTGCACGGCCCCTCCCATCCCGCCATGGCGCGGTCTGAAGACGACTGCATCAGCTGGTCCTCGCCAGCGGCTCACACACTGGATCCCATCGGTGACGTCGGGCTGGCTGGACAGGACAAGCCAGGGGCGGCAGCACAGTGGGGGCCTCGGTAAGACACGCGGACTCCTGAGGGTGGGAGATAAGCCGTGCGCAGACTCAGGGACCTGCCACTTCAGTGACGTTTGAGGGGGTCAGTGGTCAGGACACGTGCCGAGGCAGCCCCTCCAAAATAAAGGACAGATTGCCGCACCTTGCACATTCTAGTGCAAAGGACGACGCGTAGCCCAGTAGGGCTGTTTGCGCGGTGTAGGCAGCAGGTGGGGGAATGTTGCTCCAGCCCACCCCCTGCGCGGCTGAGACGGCAGCGAGGAGTGGGCCCCAGGGCGGGAGAGGGCCCTGCGGCAGGCCCAGGCCACGGTTTGGCGAGCCCTCCCGCTTGGGCCCCGTGAGCTGGCAGATCCGCGTGCTGGAGACATAGCCACAGTGGAGAAGATGCGGTCTGCGGCTTCCACGGCGAGTTCCAAGAGAGAATCAGAACGGAGGCCCCTGGAATTCGGAGCGATGCATGCATGCCGCAGCAGAGAACCACACTCCTTTGTGAAACAGCTCCTGGCCGCCTGCTGCTGGCCTGGGAGAGATGGAACACTTGGCCATTGGACACCAAGTGACCATTTGTCTGCAACTGCCCATTACAACCTGGGTTCTGTTCCACCCTCCAAATTATAAAGTCAGACCAGGAGTGGTCCACTGTAAGATGGAAATAGTCCCTCCACATCAAGTTTGAGGGGGCCCAGAGGCAGGAGTGAGTGGCAAGAGCAGGCAGTCCAGACTCCCATGTCACCTGCCAACTGTACCAGTGTCCCTCCCCCAGGTGGCATCTATGGTTATGCGTGCACGTGTGTGTGTGGGTGTGTGTGTGTGTGTGTGTGTGTGAGGTTGTTCCTGTAAGATCAGCAACCAGATGAAAAGGGAGGAAATAGCCTGAGTTTGGTCAAGGATGGGCCAGTTTAATACGTGCAAAGAGAAAAGAGACACTGGCTGCATTATGGTCACATTCAAGGTGACCCTGGAAGGCAGTGGAGAGGGACTACCTTCCAATGGGTGAGCTGTGGTCAGTGCACCTGGTCCACTTTGTGTGGTGGGAGAAGCAGTCCAGAGTGAGAATTTGTATAGATTGTTGGGCAGTGGCCAATGGCCTGGCCATCTATCTGGTCAAGCACTTGAAAGACTGAGGACAAGGAGCCCTGGGGAGTGGCATGTGGGATGGGCATCTAGGAGTGGGCATGCAGCATGAGGATTCCCATATGAAAGGCTAGTAGTGCCCACCAGGAAATACCCACCATGGAAGAGGCATGAACAGCCACGTGGACAAATGATTTGGCCCATCAACATTGGCCATCCTTCATCATTAGCCACCCCAGAACCAGCATGACAGGCCCGGGAGCAGAATGGCCATCATGGCAGACACCTGGGGCTACTATGGGACCAACAGAACGGACTCGCACTCACCAAGGCCGAGCTAGCTCCTGCTGCCTCTGAATGTCCAACTTGTCAGCAACCAAGGCCAACACCAAAGTCCTGGTGTGGCACTATTCCCTTGAGGAGACCAACCGGTCAGCTGGTGCTGAGTTGGCTGTGCCAGGACCCCCTCATCCTGGAGGTCCAGCAGTTCATGCTCCCAGGGATGGAGACCTGCGCTGGGTACAGGTTTGCCTTTCTTGCCTAAAGAGCCTCAACTGGCGCCACTGCCTGGGACTTGCAGAAAGTCTGACCCACGGGCATGGCTTCCCACCCAGCACAGCACGTGACCAGTGTGGACCCATGTCACAGCCAAGGAGGTGTAGGAGTGGCCATGACTGTGGGGTCTACCGCCGTATCTCATGTGTCTCCACACACTGGCAGCTGGCCTTGCAGGATACTGGAACAGCCTCCCGAAGCTCAGAGGAAGCCCAGCTTGGGGAGATGCTCTGAAAGAACGGGGTGCCTCCCTCCAGGACGCAATGTATTTATTAAATCAGAGACCTCCACACGGTCCTACGCTCCCAGCATAGGAGGGCTACGTGGCCCCATGAACCCAAAGGTCTATGAGGCTTAATTCCATCAGGGGTTGGACAGATTCCACATCCCTAAGCTGCTTCTGCTGAGCCAGCGAGTGTCCACTGAGGAAGGTACAAATAAGAGAGAATCCATTCATGCATTTATTAAGCACTTGATACGTGCCAGGGCATAGTGACTCTTTCAATCGTCACAGTCCCACAAGGAAGGAACTATTATTTCCACCATTTTATAGACATGGAAAATGAGGCACAGAAAAGTTACCAAACTATTAGGGTATTTAACCTTTGCTTCATCACCTTCCACAAATATCACTGCTCTCCTGCAATGTGCAGGCCTGTGCCGAGTGCTACTGGGAGCACAGAGATGACCAGGGTGCTGGCGCCATCCTCCCATCCTCTCAGAGTTTAGGATCAAGCTGGGGTGCCCTCCCCCTTGCCCACCTGGGAACGCAGCCAGGGTGACGCAGCTCAGGTGTGGTCTCCTGGGCAGAAGGACCACTCCTTGCTCCCTGCTCCCACTGCTGGGACGCAGTTCTGTACACTCGCGTCACACGGTGTCCGAACATGTGCTCAGCTGGTTCTCTCCCCTCACGGAAGGAGGGATCCTTGAGGGCATGAGCCAGGTCCTGGGGACATATGGGATGGGCATCTAGGAGTGGGCATCTAGCTCAGAGCCCGGCAACGAAGGGGTGGGTGGCTGGGTCCGTAGAGGGATTACATGATGACTAGTGGCTCACACGTGCACACACACGCACACACACACACACACTGCACATTGCTCCACCTCGTCTCTCAGTCACCCCTCCCAGTAGCCCTCTGAGGAAGGCAGCATCAGAATCTCCCTTTCGCAGATGGGGAAACTGAGCCCCAGATAGAGAGAGACACTTGCTCAGGAGAGGCAGAGCTGGAGTGTGGGCTACGAGCACCTCTGCTCTCATCTCTCCTCTGCGCAGCTGTCTGTCGGGGAAGGAAGGCGTGGGCGGGCTGGGGTGGTCACCAAGGCAGGGTCCGAGATGCCCTTTGGATCATCAGAGAAAGGGATGGGAGGCTCTTCCAGGCAGGAAGTCTCGGGAGTGTTTGGCCCGCAGACTGTTTGGTCTGAATAGAAGGTTGGGGAGCGGCGAGGGACGAGGATCTGGGGTCCTGCTGGGGCTTCACCCCGTCACTGGGCAGGCGGGAAGGGGCGCTCTCGCTGGGAAGCCTGGGCTGGCCACCCTGGCAGAATGGGCGAGCAGGGTGGAGGGAGGACTAGGGCAGGGAGGGCAGAGGGGAGACGTCTGCAGTTGTCTCGGGGAGGAATGGAGCCCTGAGCTCAGAGGCAGGCTCAGGAGCTGGAGAGAAGCTGATTATTTAAGAGTCACTGCAAGGGAAGCCTGCTTGGGAGCAAGCAGGAGGGTCTCTATGGGAATCATGGATCTGCCCTGGGAAATTGGCCTTGCTGGCCTTGGAGTCACATTGTAGTCATTCCCACAAGCCCCCCGGCGTGAGAGGCGGAAGGAGGGCAGAGGGGAGAAGGATGAGGGTCGGCCCCTCCGCCCCTCCTGCTCCTAGCCTCTCGTCTCTGCAATGTCAGGAATGGGCTCAGACACCAAGATAAACAACGCACTGATGGGCTGAGGCGGGCGCTGATAGAGACTGGATCAGCCCCAGGCCTCCCTCCAGGAGAGAGACGTTTCCCAGCCAGGGGGAAGGGAACAAGTCAACCACTGTTCTGGAACTTTCCACTCACATCATCCCCCTCTTAC